TGGCGACAAACCGCCTTCAAAAATAAAAATTTAGGTTTATCAAAAAATGCACGAAACAAAATTTTGGTTTTCTCAAAATTTTTCGAAAGAAAAAGAATTGGTATGCAAAACGCGCCAAAATTTTTTACAACAGAGTATAGTTTACAGGTGAAGAGGAAAACGGAGTTAAGGAGGTTCATATTTAAAGTAACTTTGGGTAAAATTTATAGTATTATTCACTTACTGCATCAAACCTTGAAGTGCAAAAATTAAATTTTTAATGAATGTCTATATAGTCTACTAAACATTCACCGCGCCTTATAACAGTTTACTTCCGCTCCAAAAAATTCACGATAGAAAACCAAAGAAATTATTCTTCTGTTGAGCTAAGATTTTAAGACTATCATTTCAGAGCGCTTATCAGGCAATTGTAGAAAACTTCTTCTCTTAGTGACATTGATGAAAAGACAGTTGTCGCTGCTGAAAAAAGTTGTTTCTTAAAATCGTTTCAATGTCGTTCATGAGCCCGGTAAATTATACTTCTCTAAAAGATGCTGCTAGAGAAGACTACACGTAACAGACTTGTACCATACTTAAGTTTCTCTTAGGTTCGCGTTAGAGCTAAAAGAACTTTATTTTTCCGAACTATTCTTTGCGACAGAATAGCCTCTACTTGGAACATTTTTTTTTCAATTTTTATTTTGCTCTCAACCGAATATTCTCAGAATGTGTTAACAGTAGTCAACATAATTCAAATTTAGTTTGTCATTAGAATAATTGAATTTTTTTGGTTTATATAATAGATTAAAGAATAAAAAAAGAGGAGAAACAAGAATGTAAATGTGTCTAAGCAAAGGTCGATTTAGAATGTGCTTTTTGTTAGGTTAACAAGTATTCGTTGCTAAGAAAAAAATTGAAAAAAGCATTTTACGAGAAGGAAGGTTATTATGTAAAAAGAACAAGTTATTTCTGTGCTGTGACTCTTGGCAACACAAATGTAAGAGTAACTGTTGCTACTAAAAGAAATTTATGTCTCAAAAGAGCTTCAAAGTCATTTTGGAACCTTGCTGAGCACCTTATTCTACGATAGGTTCCCTGTTCTGCAAAATAGATGTAAACCACACTTATTCTTGCGGTAAAGACAAAAAAAAAGCTAACTAGCTTTAAACGACTTTTTAAGAATGACTGCTAGGTGAAGGTTAACGTAATGAATACTGCTTTTCACTTTGTAATCTTGATTCTGCTGAATATTAAGCCTACAGTGGCATCAACTGCAACCGGACGTATTAAGGTCACCATTGTCAGACTGAACAGTGCATCCGTAAAACCGTATTGCCCAAAGCGAGTTGAACAAAACATCAGTAAAGATGAATGTGCGAAAATTTGTGCTAAACAGCTTTCTTCCTGTTCGGCTATTGAATACGCCAGCAACAACTGTACATTGTGGAAATACGTACTATTGGAAGAAAACCCGACACCGTCCAAAAACCTGTATTTGAAAGATACGTCTAACACTTTCAAAAAGGACAGTTGTCCAGATTCAGCTGCTGTAGAATCTGTTGGTAAACTCAGCCGCTAAAAAACCTTTTTTTATTTTAATATAAGATGAAAAAAAAAGAAGAAGTAAAAAAAGGTTAAGTAGAGAAAAAAGTTGCATTAGAAAAGAGCAAAAATCAAAAATGTAGAAAATAAATAATCTTTTTCTGCT